TTCACTCTATTAGAGATCTATTGTTTATCATTAGATGACAATAGAGAGAGAGAGAGAGAGAGAGAGAGAGAGAGAAATGTTTATCATTTAAATACACAATATTTTGTTATCACGAAAAATATGCAAAAACTCATCTCATTTGCTGGTATTTTGCTGTGAATTAATGAACTGTTATTTGGCTTTAATATTACATACATTTAACTCTTTGAAGCTCTGAATGCTTTTAAAAATTCATATATATTTTTATTATCAAATAGTTTATCACATTTTGCGATCATTTGATCCTTTAATAAAACATTAATTTCCTACACAAGCCCTCTGTCCTAATGCCTGTCCCCATCATTACACTGTATTGTATAATACAGTACAGTATATGTTGTGTACATCACTACTCTTTATATGTATTTTAAGTCTAATATCCAATGCAAACAACATTTTATAATACATATAGCACTATATGTTAGTACTGTATAAAGTATATACAGTATAATAGTTTTACAACACTTTTATAATAAACTAATAGTATTTTAATGCGATTTCTATATTTAAAACCCATTGTTATGTTTATATTTGCAATCCTTTTGTTCTTCGTTTCGTTGGAAAAAATTATTTATCAGTTTTTTAGTCCAGAAATTGTCAGATAATACAAGATATGTGTCAAATGGGTTATACATTCAGCTATACAGCTATGTTTGTGTCAATACTACACTATAGGATCGGATTTTAATTTTTTCAATACATTTAACTCCAATTTCTAGAATTGTATTGAAATTTCTATTGATTACAAATGTTATCTAAATTATAAAGCTATTACTAAAGCCAATGTAAACTTTTCCTATTATAAAATATTCTGAATTACAAATTTCTATAAAGTTTCAAAACTTTATCATAAGTTGTATTTTACTTACAAAACAACTATTAAATAGGAAATTCCTTGAAACATAGATATAGAAAATTCTCGTTAGAGTTATTGTATGTATTTAACAAGTTTTGACAAAAATATTTAACTTTTAAAATATGTTTTGAGGATTATTTATGAGAAATTGTTGAGAGAGAGAGAGAGAGAGAGAGAGGCATAATTGTATTGAATGCAATAATGAGGGACATTTTAAATCACTGAGTCATGCAATAAAAGTAATAATTTTTAATTTATGACTTGTATAATGAAATTTAAACCAATCATTCATTCATTATTGTATTAATTTCTCGCATAAATGTCTTAATACTTAAATACTGCGAAACTTTTGCTGACATTATTATGTCTAAACATTATAAAGCAATTATTATGTATTTTAATAATTAATTGTAATTCAATTTGTATCAAATACATAGTACAAAGTTTTTTACTCTAAACGCCTATTGTGTACTGAAATATACAGTGTTTTAGTAGGAAAACTCTGATTTTAATTTGAAAATTTGTGACTAATTACTTGATTATATCCCAAAAGGCGATACAAAGTGTCCGACACCCGGATGTAACGGTTCCGGTCACTCGACTGGCCTATACTCACACCATCGAAGTCTATCGGGTTGTCCGCGCAAGAGTCAGATCACACCAGAAAGTAAGCTAACAATTCAACACAACTTATATTTAATACTAAACCTTGTTTTTCAAAACCCAAACAAAAACTTTGTCAGTCCTGGCACTACACGAGACAATACTTAAGTATGCATTCATTTAATTACCATTAGTTTTATTCACTATAATACCAAATGTTAACTATAATAACAAATGGTTACAATAGGTGTCCGACACCGGGATGTAATGGTCGGGGACACGTCAACTCGTCCCGCAATTCCCACCGCAGGTCAGTCTTAAACTATAATTTACATTAAATCTCAATTACTTATGGCCAATAAAATGAAATGATAACCACTGGATGTGCTCTCTTTGGCTGTCAATAGTTTGTCGGGCTGTCCAATGGCTGCGATGGAGAAGATGTGCCAAAAGGAAAAGGGTAGCAAAATAGTTGTCGTTCCCTCGTGTCTGTCCGTAACGCCTACCGCATCGCCGGCCCCACAGCCGATGCCGACGACTCTGCCGGTGGCCATTTGCCCGCCGGTGATGACCACCACTTCGGATCGGGTGCTGAGGCCCATGTGTTTTGTGAAACAGTTGGATCTGCCCGGCAAATACAATTCGGGCCAAACGGCCAGTTATGCCACTCCGCGCACAAATCTGGCCAAAGAGCTCGAGAAGTACAGTAAACCACAGTCGGAGGTCGACTATCCGTTGGGCGGAGGCGGTGGCGGTCCGGTTGCGGTCAATACTGGTGCGCCCTATTGTCGACCCATATTAGCCAAACCAAACAAAATGTTATCAAATGAGCACAACATTCATAACCCAAACGCATTCAGACCTAACGAGAGTCACGACTCGTCGCCCGTCATTGACCAGAGGACACATAATTACAAGTATATTACTATTGGGTTGCCATCAGTCGTATAATTGATCTTAATTCACATCAGGACTGAACACACGTACGATTCGTGTCAAATGATCTCATCCGACAGTCACCGACGGAACTCTTCAGTCCTGGACTTGTCCACCAAAAGTGACGATTCGGACTCATCATCAATGGATGTCCCCCTCAGAGCCAATAAAATAACTGAATCTTGGTATTTGTCTATTATAATATTTGTGATATCTATTTTGCTATACATGCAATTTTATTAAGCAACTTTACAGACGATCAGGGTTATTTTAGTTACTTAAATAATAATTAGATTTATTATTTTAGACTAAAGTGATTATTTTACTAGAATACAGAGTATTTGAATAGCAATTGACAATTAATTGCATTAAATAATGAAAAATAATGCAAATATGTATTCAAACAGTCGTTATTCTCGGCGTTCAAACGGAAGCGTTGACTACCGGGAGTCGAGTCCGCTGTCAGAGCCATTGGACTTCTCGGCGACCACTCATACCTCGCATAACAACAATAATAACACTACTCTATGCGTGAAGAGTGAGTCCATATCGGGTTCGCCACCGCATCCACAGCTCACACAACACTCGCCAAACTCTGTGTCTCTGCTGTCGTCGCCGCCGCTGTCGTCGTCGGTCAACGCGTCCGTCGGCGCCAACAACTCGTCATCTCTATTGAGTCACAACTATCTGCCGCTCAGGAGTCCGTCGCCGGAGGAGTCGTCGAGTGTCCGCTCCTATAGTAATAATACCGACGATTACAGCGACTGCG